CTGTGAACAGTTTGGGTCTGCGTGACTCTCGGTACTCGTGACTCTGAGCGTCGCCTCTGCAGGGGGCTTCCCTGGGAACCCCGACGGCAGCGCCCGCGCGCCGCGACGCCCATGTCGGCACGCCACACACCTGGTGTGCGGGACGCATGCGGACGGCAGCACTGGGGCCTTCGGTGGAGCTCCCTGTGGGGCCACGAAACGTGTGAGGGGTGTGCCGAAATGGGTGTGCGGGACGCATGCGGACGGCAGCCATGGGGCCTTCGGTGGAGCTCCCTATGGGGCCACGAAACGTGTGAGGGGTGTGCCAAAACGTGCGTGCCGAAATGGGTGTGCGGGACGCATGCGGACGGTGGATGGGGCCACGAAACGTGTGAGGGGTGTTCGCGGGACGCATGCGGACGGCAGCCATGGGCCTTGTGGAGCCATGGGGCCACGAAACGTGTGAGGGGTGTGCCGAAATGGGTGTGCGGGACGCATGCGGACGGCAGCACTGGGGCCTTCGGTGGAGCTCCCTGTGGGGCCACGAAACGTGTGAGGGGTGTGCCGAAATGGGTGTGCGGGACGCATGCGGACGGCAGCCATGGGGCCTTCGGTGGAGCTCCCTATGGGGCCACGAAACGTGTGAGGGGTGTGCCGAAATGTGTGCCGAAATGGGTGTGCGGGACGCATGCGGACGGCAGCCATGGGGCCTTCGGTGGAGCTCCCTATGGGGCCACGAAACGTGTGAGGGGTGTGCCGAAATGGGTGTGCGGGACGCATGCGGACGGCAGCACTGGGGCCTTCGGTGGAGCTCCCTGTGGGGCCACGAAACGTGTGAGGGGTGTGCCGAAATGGGTGTGCGGGACGCATGCGGACGGCAGCCATGGGGCCTTCGGTGGAGCTCCCTATGGGGCCACGAAACGTGTGAGGGGTGTGCCGAAATGGGTGTGCGGGACGCATGCGGACGGCAGCCACTGGGGCCTTCGGTGGAGCTCCCTGTGGGGCCACGAAACGTGTGAGGGGTGTGCCGAAATGGGTGTGCGGGACGCATGCGGACGGCAGCACTGGGGCCTTCGGTGGAGCTCCCTGTGGGGCCACGAAACGTGTGAGGGGTGTGCCGAAATGGGTGTGCGGGACGCATGCGGACGGCAGCCATGGGGCCTTCGGTGGAGCTCCCTATGGGGCCACGAAACGTGTGAGGGGTGTGCCGAAATGGGTGTGCGGGACGCATGCGGACGGCAGCACTGGGGCCTTCGGTGGAGCTCCCTGTGGGGCCACGAAACGTGTGAGGGGTGTGCCGAAATGGGTGTGCGGGACGCATGCGGACGGCAGCCATGGGGCCTTCGGTGGAGCTCCCTATGGGGCCACGAAACGTGTGAGGGGTGTGCCGAAATGGGTGTGCGGGACGCATGCGGACGGCAGCACTGGGGCCTTCGGTGGAGCTCCCTGTGGGGCCACGAAACGTGTGAGAGGTGTGCCGAAATGGGTGTGCGGGACGCATGCGGACGGCAGCCATGGGGCCTTCGGCGGAGCTCCTATGGGGCTACGAAACGCTGTACTGGGCGGGTGAAACGCAGGGAAGGCGGAGGAGGAGGAAGGAGGAAGGAGACGCGGGGCACCGTCTCTTCAAAACGAGGACCCAACACCACAGGATGGTTGGGAAAAACAACAAACAAACAAAAAAGGAAGGGAAGGAGGGAAGCAGATAAAGCATATCAGACGAGGCAAAAGGTTCCACCTGCTGCGCGCCAGCGAAACAACATTCCTGCCAAAGGTATGCGGAAGGCCGTTGGAACACGGACTGCGACGCGCGCTGCTCGTCAACCGTATGAACTTAACACTCGAAGAGTGCAAAATGGACCCTGGGGGGGGGAGCCAAGCGGGAAAAGGGGAAGACTGGAACCCACGAATACTGGCCGCCAGGCTGTGGCTACCAACGGCCCACCCCAAGGAGGCCCTTATTATTCTCAGTATTCGTATTGTGCTGATTTGTTTTATGATCATTATGATTTTCTCACTCTTAAGATTATTATTACCGAGAGGGCCCCAGATGCGATGGGTCGCCACGCGCCTCGCACCGACAGGCGCGCGGGCGTGTGCATGTAGCAGCTGCGCCGACCTCGATCTATGCGCGGGCCTGGCGCCACGACGGAGGACGTGGAGCTGCTCATTCGAAAACGAGGTCGCAAATAGAGGGCAGAAAATCCACCCCGATAGTAGCCGCCCCAACACGCAAGGTCTGCAGCAAACGCGCCCGAAGAAGGAATCGAGCAGGGCAGGGCTGTTTAGTAAAAGCCCAGGGCCGTTCAGTAAACGCCAATTGTCCATCGGGAGCGGCAAAGAGGGGGGTGTCCATAAGGGGGGGGTGCAAATCATGACCGGCTGCATGTGCGCGGCCCAGCGGGGGGGCCAGGGACGTAATGAAATAAGAAGAGGCGCCATGAAATCTGGGGAAATATCATGGCCCGCGCCATGATATCCACCCCCCCCTAGTCATCACCCCCCTCTTTTCCGCCCCCGAGTCCAGTCCGGGTGGTCTCTCCTCCCTTGAGAAAAGCCCGGCTTGCACGGCGAGGAAAGGCTGGATACACCCAGCGGGAATCGACAGCAACGCCCACGGGGGCGCAGCCACGAGCGAGGGGGCGGACGGGGGAAAAGAGGGGGAAATGGAGGAAGAAACAAACAAAAACAAAACAAAAAACAAAAAAAAAAAAAAAAAAAACGAGGCAGTGCATGCACACACGCACACACACACACACACACAAACACAGCTCCGCTCTCCTTGCATGGCGCGTCTTACAAGGAGGGCCGCCCCTCGTTCAATCACGCTTCAATCCCTCGACTAGCTCCGCACGTTCAGCAGCCTATCGACATCCCGTCCCTGATCATGGCAAGACAGAGCTCAAGCACGGCTTCCACCATAACGTGGTTGAAGCCGCGCCTAAAGGAGAGTCGCACATTGCGCAACACTCCCTCGCAGATGCCCGCGCACCTTGGCGCAACCAGGTAGTTGCGTAAGAACGTAAGGACTGTACGACGATAATCCTTTCCTTTCTCCTCCACCTCATCTGTTTCCTCACTGGCACCAAACTGGCCATCGCTCGGACGACTATTCCCTGTGTTTTGTTGTCGGTTTCGTGCGTGTTTTTTTCGCCAAATGATCAAGGATGCTCCTCGATGGTCCTCGCCGAGAAAAAATGCACACGTCCGAGCGATGCCAGGCAAAACTATTGGGAACGGCTGGTGACGCGCCGCAGGCGTCTTCGACAAAATCCGCCGACCCCATCTGCGCGTGCGATGGGTTGGCGTTTTCGCAGCACGCACCCCTGCGGCCAGCCTGGGGCGTCAACTTCACGGGGTTTTCCTACGAGGCTCGCGCTGGTGGTCGGGCCGTGTCTTGGATGGTCTGGGCAGCCAGTCGTCGCATACTACACGTGATCTTCGTCTGGCCTCCGATTCCGAACTCTCCTGGGGCCCCTGGCGTGCCCCCTGGGTATTGAGAAGTGGTGGCGCGAGGACTTTTCGGGCCCAAGAGGGCCCAAACACAGGCCAAGAGGACCCCAAGAGGCCCCGAAGACAGCCCAAGATGGCCCCGAGTTGCCGAAAGATCGGCACAAGACGCCCAAAATAGCCCCCAGACAGCCCAAGATGCCTCCAAGACGCCTCAAAAAGCCTCCAAGAGGCCTCCCAAGAGGGCCCCAAAAGGAAAAAATCAATAATTCCCCTTAAGTTATCAATAGACTTTGGCGTTCTCGCCGTTTCGGCTTTCTGGCGCTCCAAGACAACCCAAGAGGCCCCAAGACCACCCCAAAACGGAACGGCCCAAAAGGCCCCCACCAGACGGCCTAAGAGCGCCCCAAGACGGCCCAAGAGACGCCCAAGACGGCCCAAGAGGACCACAAGACGGTCCCGAAAGGCGCCCAAGAGAGGGAACACGAACCGAAAATCCGAGCCTTCCGCCCAAAGAGGCCTCCCGGACAGAGCGCCGGAGAGGGCAGAGGCTTCCTAGATGGGGTCCGAGTAGGGGGGGTCGGAGGATCGCGCCGCATCACCGAGGCATCACCGACCCCATTTACTCCGACCCCATCCAGGAGGCCCGAACAGGGCGGGCCTCGATCTGGCGGGCGGTGGGGAGGGGCAGAGGTGCGGGAGTAGTCCCGATTGAGCGGGACTATGCCGATTTGGGCCCGTTTTCGACCAGCGACATACCCGCACCGATTGAGAATTTCACCTCCCAGGAGTTGCATCCGAACCTGGGCAGGAGTGGGCGCTGGCGCGCGGCTTCGTGCAGAGGGGGCGCGAGGGGGGCCCAGACAAAGCGCGCAAGCCGCTGCCATCGCATCTCACTCGGTGATCAGGGAGAGCCCGCGAGCCCGAACTCGAGGTCACTCCGGCGAAGGGTCGCTCTCACGCGCAGTCGATTTCCCCCCCCCCCTGGCTCGCGAAAGGCAGCACTCCGGGCAGGCCGCCGGCCGGAGCGGGGGGGGGGGCAGACGCAAAAACAAAAAACAAAAAAAAACAAGAGAACCCCCAAAACAAAAACGGAAGAACAAAACAACAAAAAAAAAAAAAAAAAAAAAAAAAAAAAAAAAAAAAAAAAAAAAAAAAAAAAAAAAAAAAAAAAACGGTGCGGGCACGCGTGCTTTCGCAGCTCCGCGCGGAGGTTCTCGGGATCGGAGCTGGGCCCTCTCCCGGGCGGCGCCCGGAGCGCATCCAGGCGGGACCGGCTCACAGGGCAGGGGGGGGGGGGACGTCGAGATGGAATCGGCCACACGTCGCAGACAGGTCGGCGAGGGGCCCCCACTCGCGAAACTCCTGGGCAGGGCGGGCGATCGGGCCCCTGTCGGCGATGAGTGGGCGACTGGGGGTCGTCGATGCATGTCCCCCTGCGCCTGTCCCTGAGACCATTTCCCCACCCACCCCTGGGAAGACGGTCGATCCTTGACCCTCGATCCTGGCTCCTCGACCTCAACCCCGGGAGGCCCTCCAGAGAGCAGCAATGACCAGAACCCTCCGCCCTCTCGTCCTCTCGTCCTCCGTCCTCCGTCCTCCCGCCCCCGTCCTCGATCCGCCCGTCCTCGGGCCTCCATCCCCGGGTCTTCCCGCCCTCCCGCCCTCGATCCTCGACCCGCCGTCCTCAGTCCCTCGCCATCGCTCGGACGTCCATTCCCTGTGTGTTTGTTTGGTTTCGCGTCTGGCTTTTTCGCCAAATGATCAAGGATGCTCCTCAATTGTCCTCGCCGAAGGAAAAATGCACACGTCCGAGCGATGCCGAGGTCCTCGATCCTCGCGCCTCGCTCCCTGATCCTCACTCCCCGACCCCCCCGGCCACGGGCGCCAGGTGCCCAGCGCGGCGCCTTGGGGGACAGAGCGCCGACCGAGGTGGAGCGCTGCGCCATCTGCCGCCAGGAGGCGCTGGCGGCCTGCGGAAACCCGAGGATCGCAGACCGAAGATCGCATACATCTATAGATATATCGGAGGTGAGGGGGTGAGATCGAAGTGGAACGGAGAGCCCCCCTACCAGGAAATCGATTTCGGTTTCGTGTTCGTGCGTGCCGTGCGGGCGAGGCGAAGCTGCGTGGGCGGGCGAGAGAAAGTCTCCTGTGGCTGAGGCGCGGCCGGACCAAATGTCTCCCTTCCGGGCGGCCGGGGGCCCGCGGTGTCCCGCCGGTGTCCCGCTGGTGTTTCGTGTGGCTGAGGCGCGGCCGGACCAAAATGACTCCCTTCCGGGCGGCCGGTGGCCCGCGGTGTCCCGCCGGTGTCCCGTCGGTGTCCCGCGGTGTCCCGCGGTGTCCCGCGGTGTCCCCGGTGTCCCGCGGTGTCCCGCGGTGTGTCCCGCGAGGATGAGATGATGATGATGAGATGATGATGATGATGATGATGATGATGATGATGATGATGATGATGATGATGATGATGATGATGATGATGATGATGATGATGATGATGATGATGATGATGATGATGATGATGATGATGATGATGATGATGATGATGATGATGATGATGATGATGATGATGATGATGATGATGGTGTCCCGATGAAGATGATGATGTTGATGATGGTGTCGATGATGATGATAGTGTCCCGATGATGAGGATGATGATGCTCATGATGATTATGTTGATGATGATGACAATGATGGTGTCCCGATGATGATGATGATGATGATGATGATGATGATGATGATGATGATGATTCCGATGATGTTGGTGATGATGATGTTGATGGAAATGGTGTCCCGGCGATAATGATGTTGATGATGATGGTGTTGATGATGATTATGGTGTCCCGATGATGATGCTGCTGATGATGATGGTGATGATGATGATGGTGATGGTGATGGTGTCCCGATGAGAATAATAATGATAATGACGATGTTGATGATGATGTTGCTCATGATGATGATGATGATGATGATGATGATGATGATGATGATGATGGTGCCCCAATGATGAATGATCATGATGATGATGGTGTCCCGAGGATGATGACGATGTTGATGATAATGTTGATGATGAGAACGATGGTGATCATGATGGTGTCCCGATTATGATGATGATTCTGATGATGTTGCTGATGATGATGACGAATACTGTGTCCCGATGATGATGATGATGATAATGATGATGATGATGATGATGATGATGATGATGATGATGAGATGATGGTGGTAATGATGATGATGATGATGATGTTGTCCCGATGATGATGCTGACGTTGATGATGATGTTTATGATGAGGATGACGGTGCCCTCATGATGATGACGATGTTGGTGATGATGTTGATGTTGATGATGATGTTGATGATGATGATGACGTTGATTGTGAGAGCGATTGTGATATCGATAGTGAGATCGATATTGAGACCGAATGTGAGATCGATTGTGTGATCGATTGTGAGATCGATTGTGAGATCAATTGTGAGATCGATCGAATGAGATAGATCGAGTGAGATCGATTGTGAGATCGATCGAGTGAGATCGATCGAGCGAGACCGATAGTGAGATCGATACTGAGATGGATAGTGAGACCGATCGAGTGAGACGTTGGTTCCCCCCCCCGAACCTCCTTATCACCCGAAGGGTGGTCGTATAGGTATTTATATATAGAGAGAGAGAGACAGAGAAAGAGAAGGAACAAACTGTTTCTGGATGAATGTGGAAACTTCCTCTTTCTCCTCCTCCTCCTCCTCCTCCTCCTCCTCTTCCTCCTCCTCCGCCTCCTCCTCCTCCTCCTCCGGTTACCGCGACCCCGGCACCCGTCCATCAATGGGAAGGGTGTCCACTGCGGTCAGGGTCCTCCGGCTCCCTCCACCGCCCGCCCCATGTCCCAAGACTGTGGCAGGGTCGTCAGCTCCTCGTTGTCGTTTTCGGTTGTAGTCGTCGTCGTGATCGTCGTCGTCCTTCTGGGTCGGCGGCACCGGCCGCAAGGCATTATGTTCAAACGAATTCAAGACACAACTATTTTCTGAATGCGATACAAAACAATACCATATACAAAACGGCTTTGGAGTTCATTCAGAAGCCCGCTCTTGAATACATTCCAGATCAAAAGCGGGAGGACCCGAGGACAGGAGGGTCCGAGGACGCAAGGACCCGAGGATGGCGGATCGAGGACGCGAGGACGCGAGGGCCCGAAGGCCCGAAGACCCGAGGAACCGCGGACCCGAGGGCCCGAGGAGCGAAGGCGGGAAGCCCTGAGGATCCGAGGGCCCGAGGATCCAGCACCCGAGGACTCGAGGACCCGAGGGCCCGAGGATCCGAGGGTCCGGGGATCCGGGAGCGGAGGCCGGAAGGACCCGAGGACCCGAGGACCCGGCCGAGGGCCCGAGGCTCCAGGAGCGAGGGCGGGGGGGCGGGAGGGCAAGGCGGGCCCGAGGACGAGGGCGGAGGGCTTCCAGGGCTCGGGTCGCCGCTGCTCGCCGGAGGACTTCTCTCCAGGGGGGCGCCCTCGCCGCCACGGCCGGGAGCCCTGCTCTGAGCACACCCTGGCCGGGCGCCGCACGCCCCAAGAGGGGGTCGGGCGGGGCATCATGCTCGGACCTGGAAAAGAAGGGGCCCTGGGTGTCGCAGAGCAACCTCGGCCTCCAGAGTCGTCTTCAGGGGCCATCCTCAGGTCGGGCGAAAGGGGGGGATAGCAAGGGTGGGGGAGAATCAGCCCACATAGCTGATGGGGGGAAAATAAGGGGCCCTGGATATCGCAGAACGTTCGGTTGCCAACGTCGCAACCTGCGTTTGCCAACGCGTCCCACCGGATGCACGGCCGAGCGAGCGAGCGGACGTCGCAGAACAACCTCGGCCTCCAGAGCCGTCTTCAGGGGCCAGCATCGGGTCGGGCGAAAGGGGGGGATAGCAAGGGGGGGGGGGGAATCCGCTCACGTAGCTGATTTTCCCTGCGCCTCCCGGCGCCAGAGGCGACTATGTATCGAGGAATGGGCCCCTCGGTGGGGCCGAAACCAGCTGCATGCAGCAAATTTCGTAATCCCCCCTTTCCCAATCCCCCCCTTTCGTCCGGCCCGACATCAGAACGACGGTCCGGAAGGGGGCTCTGTGAAGCAGGGCCAGGGCCGGAACAAAGTCGGACCCGGGCAGATCTGGAATCGCTGAGGTCCAGCGAAGCTGGAGTGTGCATCGAGCGGCACGGCCGTTCCAGAGCGCTTTGGAGCGCTCTGGAAGTGTATCGAGAGGATCTGGAGGGAGCTAGCCCTTCCCGAAACTGACCCCGAAAGAGGGGTCGGGATCTCGAACGGGCCTGAGACTCGAAAAGATCTGGTCGTCGGAGGTCTGCGGAGGTGCCGATGGAGGGGCAAGACGAGGGGAAGGATAGAAACAGAAAGTGAATGGAACGATGGAGCGAGAAAAACCACGATGAGAGCGAGAAGATAACCATGAAGACAGACGGTAGGACTATGGGATGCAGGGGCGGAGCTAGAAGCGGACGGCGAGGGGCGAAGATGACAGCCAGGGTAAACAGAGCACGAAGGCAGCCTGAATAGAACGAAGCTGAAAAAGAAGAACGTGTTAGCCAGCGATAACCACAAAGAGTGCATTTCTAGCAATATGCGTTGTGTAATCCATTTGGCCCAATATATTTTGTTTTTTATATATATATATATATATATATATATATATATATATATATATATATATATATATATATATGCAAGGTACGCGTCGCAATATAACCAGAAAGAAAGATATATGGTCTGTTATGCAATATACGTGGGTCAATATATGATGCGAAACGTTCGTGGGGCAATATGTGCTGCGCAATATCTGTGGACCCCGTATGCGGTGCAAAGTTCGTGATGCAATATTTGTTTTATCTGTATATATGTATACTGTACAATACATGATGTGCACTATATGTTGCGCAATATACGTGGTGCAAAGTATGTGGTGTAATCGACGTGGTGCAGTCTATGCAATGCACCATGGGTCGTGCAATCGACGTGGTGCTATGTGTGGTGTGCAACGATTCGGCGACGCCGGGACATGGCGACAACATAGCTGCCAGACCGCCCTCCAGGCCCAAGCGACGGGCGGCAGCAGGGCGGCGACGTGGCAGCGACGGCGACAACACAGCCGCGAATGCGACCCCCAGGCCCAGGCGACGGGCGGCGACGAGGCGGCAACGGGGCGCCGACGGCGACGGCATAGCCACGAGACCGACACCCAGGCCCAGGCGACGGGCGGCGACGAGACGACGGCGGGGCGGCGACATCGATAACATAATTAGCCGCGAAATCGACACCCAGCCCCAGGTGACGGGGGGCTGCGAGGCAGCGACGGGGCGGCGACGGCAATAACATACCCGCGGGAAAGACCCCCAGGCGACAGGCGGCGACAAGGCGGCGACGGAGCGGCGACGGCGACAACACAGCCGCCAGATTTTTATACATCCCATGACAACGCTACCTGCGGGGGTGAATACTCTCAGCAGGGAAACATGTAGAAAACAGCAAGGCAGCGGACTGCATGAAGCGCCCCAGGGGAGCAGCAAAAACGGACCGACCTGCAGCCAAAACCACAGAATCTCTTGCATGACAATGGAGCGGTGGCAAAGGGTTCAAGATGAGGAAGGAAAGGAGGCGCAGGAGCAGGAGCTGAAAAAATGGGCGCGTTTGGTAATGCTTCGGGATGCGCACTGACAGGCCCCCCCCCTGACAGTCCCGGCTAACCTTCATCGGGCCTCCGAATAGTCCGAGGCCAACCCGGACCTACCCGGGGAAGGGCTGTCCGCACGCAACCGGAAGCCTTGCCCCGCGCGCACATTCGAAGCAAGCGCATGCGCGCATTCCGCTAGCAGCCTGCCTGCGAAGATCCCGCACCCCCTTCCCAAATGCTGCGTGCAAACACATTCTTGCGTCGGCGGCTAGGCAAGGTCACTGCGATGGCGATGAAATCATTGCAGGGTGCACACTTGCGAATTAAGCCGCGGTGCAAGGGGATGAAAGAGGAGAGCCCGGCGTGGACGGAGGGAGACGGAAGCCAGGCCCGCTGAGAGCGGGGTCAGGCGGCGGCGGGGCGGGCGCCGGGACCGGAGGCCAGCAGCGGCGGCGGGGCAGCAGCTGGGGGGCCCAGCGCAAGCTGAGGCGGGCTCTTCAAGAGCACGGCGAGGCGACGATGGCGACGAGATCCGAGTGACCTCCAGGCAACCGAGGGCGATCAGCTGGAGCAGACCACCTCAAGGCGAGGTGCCGGGGGGCGAGGCAGACACACCGGGAGACAGCAAAGACGCGGCTGCAGGGAGGCCCGCCGACCAGCGGCGCCGGCGCAGCGGGGCGGGGCCACCTCGCGAGAGGGGCCGGAGTGAAAACCAGGCGAAGCGGGTGGCGCCAGGAGCGGGGCGGGCGGAAGCCAGACGCGGCAAGCCGAAGGAGAGGCGGGCGGGAGCGGAGGTCGCGGGCGACCTGCGAAGCTTCCCGCGCCCAGCACGTGCCGCCAAGGCGGAAGACGCTCCGCGACGGCGCCAAGAACCGCCGAAACGAAGCGAGGCGCCTGGCAGAGACGAGCGGAAAGACAACAGCATCGGAAGCACTAGTCTGGGGCATCGGGCCGCCGCCTGAGATCGGTCTGCTACTCGATCAATGACCGAAGAATAGCTCGCACTTTACGACTCTTTTGGCGAATGATTGTTTTTTTGTGCCTCGATCTCGAGAGGTGAAACTGGGCGCCAGCGAGAAACTGTCAATCAAAATAGCTCGTAGAGCTCTTCGGCTAGATGAGCCAAGAGAAATCCGGCTGCAGGGTGGAGCTACTTGGAATGGACAATGTGACGACCCGGGGTCGGTTTTTGCAGTTTCTAGGCAAGATTAAACAGTTCATTTTAAAAGTTCTGATATTTCTACTGTGCATTGGATCACGTTCGGTTCGCTGGTAAAGGTTTCAGGGCCATAGCTGCAATTTCTAGCGATTCGCTTCCTGCAACCGGCCTTAAGAAAATATTACTTCGCAGGAAAAACTAGTTGTCTAAGTTAACTTGAGATCTGGGCCAGCTACTCAGGTTCAATGCAAATGCAGAGACTCAGCAGCATCGGAAGCTCCAGTCTAAAGGATCGGGGCGCCTGAAATCAGTCTGCTACTCGAGCGATGGCGAAACACTATCCCACTCTTGAACTCTTCCGTCTACGCGTTCAGTCTTTCGACTCGACATTCAGAACAGCTACGGAGTTCCGTGTAGACGAATAAATGAGTTTAGGAGCATCGAAAGCTTCTGTGCGCATGGTCTAACACCCTTGAATCGGCTTGGTTCTCTTGCCATGTTCACTACTTGCACAGTACAATTTGTCAGGGCAAATACCCGATTTTCCAACTCGATCTCAAGATTTGGAGCAACTACAGTGGTTCCATGTGTACGGACAGCTTCAGCAACATCGGAAGCATCAGTGTAGAGAGTCGAGACACCCGCGATCGGCTTCCCACTCGAGCTGTCCGAAGAACGGTTCGCACTCTGCAACTCCTTGGGGCGATTTTTGTTGGACTCGATCGACATGTACAACATCTACAGATGTTGAACCTAAACCAAGAGGTCCAGCAGCGTCAGACGCTGGCGCTAACATCGATTCAAAGCCTGAGAACGGTTCGCTTCTCAAGGAAAACTCGAAAAAAACACTGTTTCGACTCTGCAGCTTTTCTGAGCACATGCGCGGTTTTGCAAGTTGCTCGAGCTTCCAAGCAGCTACAGATGTACGCGTGCCAGTAACTTCTACAGAATCAGGAGTACAAATAGTACCTCGTTGAGCTCTTCGATGCAATGAGCTCCGAGGAATTCGGGCCCAGGGTGGAGCTAGTTGACCGACCCGGCCAGATCTGTGAACATTGTGAGAGATTTGACAACTTGCGTTCGGAATCAAGATGTTTCGCACTTGTAGTAGATTACGCCGCGCTCGCCGGTAAATTTTCAGGCCCACAGCCGCAGCACTACAATCAAAACACTCGGGGGAATCAACCGCGCGCCGAGACGTTAGACACATGATCGGGGATTCCAGAGCGAACTCGAGCCACAGAGCAGCTACAGAGCTCATTAGCAGCGCACAATGAGCAGCATTGTGCCGCATCGGTCTGGCGGCAAAACACCATGTAGATCTGGCTGGTGCTCGACAGTTGAATGCAACACATGCATTTTCGGGTGCTTCTGACATTCAGAGCATTCTTACGCATGCAACGAGCTCTACGAGGTTCCCGGCGGTAACCTCGTTTACGGTTTACCGCCGGCGCCCAGTTCTTCGGTCATCGCTCGATCAGCCAAGCGATCTCAGGCCTCTTGACCTTCTGGACTGATGCTTCGGACGATGATCAACTATTCTGTGCTAGTCCCGAGATCTAGTCGAAAAACTGATGTGCCCCAAGATGCAGAGTGCAAATACTTATTTCGTTACAGCTCGAGTAGCAGACCCTTCAATCATCTCGACCATCTAGACTGATGCTTCTGATGCTTTTGCAGCGATACCTCATCGAGCTCGTGGTCTAGAGCTGGAGGAATTCGGCAGCATGGTCGAGCTAGTTGTCCGATCAGGCCAGAATACATGTTGTGGCGACCTGGGCTCGGTGTTTGAAGTTCTAGAGAAATATTTCGCAATGCATTCGACATTCCAAACTTTTCTAGTGAGTATTGGATCGCGCTGCATTCGTTGGTCAAAGTTTGAGGGCTGTAGCTGCAATACTTATGTCCGTTTACTTTCGGGAAACGACCATGAGAGAATAGTGATTTGCAGGACATGTAGTTGTTTTCAAACTTAAGTCGAGATTCAGGCGAGATAGACATGTCATGTGCGCCAAGGAGTTCCAATACTCAAGCCATGGCCGAAAAACTATTTGCACCCTGCAGCTCTTTCGCGCAAGCGTTCGGATGTTCGGCGTGTTCTCACATACCTCGTCGAGCTCCTCAATGAGATGAGCAAAAAAAACAATTGGGCGAAAAATGGAGCTAGGTTGATCGACCCCGCCAGAACGAGCAACGCGGTGACTTAGAGTCGGCTTTGTGAACATTGTGAGAGACTTGACAATTCGTTCAGATAATCTCGATTTTTCACACCTGTCGCGCTTGCCGGTAAAAGTTCAAAAACCTTGTTTTGGCGTTTGGGTTTGCGTCAGGGCGTCCACAGCTGGGTCAGCTGAGCCCTAGACCGCACTCTGGAACAGTCGGGCAAGTGAGAGGGGCCTCCCAAACGGAGACACAGCAGACATCCACACGCCAGAGAGATGTCGAGCCAGGAAGGCGGAGGCATGAAGATATGCGATTGCCTAGCCAGGGTGGCTTAGGCATCCAAAGAAAAGCAACGCACAAATAAGCGAAGCGCCAGTGAGGCCACAATGGAAACAGAAAAACAGCAAGAGAAGTGCTGAGCCAGAATGGCTGAGGCATCAGAATATCCAATGCCGAGCCAGGGCGGCGTAGGCATCAGGAAACAGAATGGACAAAGACAGGGCACAGAAGATCATTACAAGAGAAAGTGTCAATATGCAGCACAGGACGCGACGCCGAGCCAGGGTGGCGGAGGCATGCAGATATGGGATTGCCGAGCCAGGGTGGCTTAGGCATCCAAGAAAACAACGAATAAAAGCAAGCGTCAAGTGAGGCCACACATAAAAGACGGAGACAGCAAGGAAGTGCCGATCCAAGATGGCTGAGGCATCAGAATCTCAAATGCCGAGCCAGGGTGGCGAAGGCACCAGGAGACAAAGAACGGCAAAGAACAAGGCACAGGAGAACATTACAAGATACGATGTCAATATGCAGCACAGGACGCTGGAAACAGTGCCGAGCCAGGGAGGCGTAGGCATCAGGATGCGGCAAAAACGCAGGGAGAACATGCAGGCGGCCAACGTGAATATATGCCAAAGAACGCAACTCCTACCGACTGGCCAACCAGGGAGCCAGAAGAGCGGAAGAGCGAAGCCCAGCGGGGAAGCCCAAAGAGCCGAGGCCAGAGGAGAGGAACAAGCGGGAAGGGAAGAGCCAAAAACACACGGAGATAATTGAAGCAGAATATCGGCAGACAGAGCGTACGCTATCAAACTGAGAGAAAACAAAACGGTGCACACGATAAGAGTGACATCGCAGGCGATCCGTGGTTTAAAATACTCAGAACTTGTTCCACGGCCATACATAGCCGCTGAGCTGCCATCATCTCGCAAAACATGACAGACGATGTCGCCTCGAGGCGGAGGGCCTCCTCGGCCACCAACTGCCACTGGCCATTGATGCATGAATCAATGCACCATCCTGCAACACATCCCTCTACAGAACGACCCCCGTCGAAGAATCCACGCAGGCCGCCTATTTCCGAAAGTTGCGCATTATCAAGAGTAGAGGTGGAGAAATTGATGCAAAAGCTCCGCAGCCGGAACCGCGGGGGACCTCGAAGAGCTCCGCAGCCGCAGCCGCGGCCGCGGCCGCAGCCACAGCCGCGCAGCCGCGCAGCCGCGCAGCCGCGCAGCCGCAGCCGCTGCCGCGCAGTCGCCCACTCTAGAAAAGAGAAAATTATGAAATATCGTTCTGTCAATTTGCTCGA